TTTAATTGGTTGGTTATTGTTTAGCCAGAGAATTGGATTGTTACTGATTGTTAAAACTGCAAGGGTTATGAATTTTTAAGCAAGAAAATTTTAGCTTGTTATTTGTTTGGATTTATCTGGATTCTCCATTTATCAGACCATTTAATTAAGGTATTTAAATCATTTTGTAGATTTTCCAGGGCAATAACCAGTTCTTCATTTTGTGAGAGGACCAGTTCTTCATGTTGTGGCAGTGTCATCTGCGAACAAGGCTATTTCGGTGTCCATTAATTCCGGAAACCGGCAAGGTAAATTTTGAATAAAGTCGGTGCGAGTGGGGATGGGGTATTTAGGGATGTCTAGATGGCGAAATTTGTATTTCAGTCCTGTGTGGCAGACACGGTCGAACGCTTTAGTAATGTCTAAAAACAGAGCTGCCGTGTACGTTTAGTCGTGAAAACCCTTTGCAATCAAATCTATAACTCTTAAAATTTGGTGTTAAGTTGCGTGATTTGCTCTAAATCCGAATTGGGCAACAGGCGTTCGTAGCGTATAAGAATTTATTTAGCCGGGCTAAAATCAGTCTATCAAACACTTTCACTAATGAAGGTAATATGCTAATTGGGCTGAAGTTGTCTAATAGTTGTGGATATTTATTTGGTTTGTTTATTGGAATATTTTTTGCGTTTTTCCAATTTCTTGGGTAATAACTTAGTCTCAAAGCTGCATTTAATATAGCTGTTATTGCTGCAATTGTGGAGTTTGGTAATTCTTTTAATATTTGACAAGTTATTAGGTCATTCCCAGCTGCTTTTCTGTGTTTATGTCTGTTTATTGTATATTTAAGTTCTGCGGGGAATATTAATTTTGTTCTTACATCTGGGGAGTGTATAGGTTGATTCACACTGTTTAAAATTTCATCATTGAACTCATGGTTTACTATTGGATTGGGTTTAAAAGTATTTGAAAAGTGAACAAAAACCGCCTCCGCTTTTTCATCTGTATAGAGAATACTAGTGCCCGATTTTCATGGTGGTATTCTAGATTGTTCTCTCGTAACCTTTTTGATAGTAGTCCACAGAAAAGGTGAGCCGGGGGTAATTTGCTCTAAAAATTGCTTAAATAAACTATATCTGTGTTCGTTGATTAGAAATATTACTTTTTTGCACAAGGAGTTTCATTTATTTTTAAGTGTGGCCTGCTATTCAACTACCAGAGTCTTCTAATCCTGTGTTTACCATTTATCAAGTCCACGATGTGTTTCGGTAGTCAGTAAGATGAATGTTTGTTACCTTGTACTAGTTGACATGTTTTTTTAATCGCGATACTTATTGCTTCTATTAGATTATTGATTTGTAGGCCAATATCATTTTCGTTTTGGAGATCTTTTGGAAACGAAAATTGTGTGGCTATTTTTAGCCTAAAGAGATACCAGTTTTCTTTACCATTTATTAGTTTTCTTAAATTGTTAACTTGGGCAGTATTCTGAAATGAGATTATTATTGGGTTATGATCCGAATCAAAATCAGGTATTACTGAGTGAAAAAAGGGACAATTTATATTTGTGGTTACACATATGTCAAGAGTGTCCGGGGCGTCTTCATTATTAAATGGATATCGATGTAGTGGGGGGCATGGATTAATATATTGTGATTCTGGGCGAACTGTAAAAGTTTACGACCTGCATCTGTTGTAATTCTGCAGTTCCATACCTGATTTGTACTATTTAAGTCGCCTATGAAATTGGTTTTCTTATTATTATTGTACACAATATTATTGGAGTTAAACATTGTATCCAAGGCCTTTACTGGGAATGTCTTTTTAGGTGGTTTGAAGGCGGTTATTATTTTTATTATTATTTTTATTATTATTATTATTATTATTATTATTTTTAAATCGGTTCTCCTTAGATTTATTGCTACCGTCTCCAGGCAGTCAGAAGTGGAGTCACTCAGTTCGAGTGTCACTAAGCTCTTTACGGATTATTATCGCGACACCACCCGCAATTTTTTTTAAGAAGGTCTATCATTTCTATATATATATATATATATATATATATATATATATATATATATATATATATATATATTAAAACCAGGTATCTTAAATTTATAGGTTGGGTGGAAATGCGTTTCTTTAACGTAAGCTATTTGTATTTTGTGGTAGAACAAAAAGTTTCTAAATATATTATCATGTTTACTTAAACCATTTGTGTTCCAGTTTAATAATTTTAAATCCGTGAGTTTGTTGCGCTTCATTTTCGTACTGCGACATGAATCATATTTTGTATGTATGGAAATAGAAAATTCGTTATTTGAGTAATAACAGTACTTGTGATTGATTCGATTAATCTATTCATATCAATCATTGATTTGTGAACGGCGGCGCACGTAATGTTCTCTTGAGAATTATTTAACGGTCTTCTCCAATTACATGGTCTTTCTGGTATAGGAGAGAATTGGACATTGTGAAAGACTGGAGGTTGACTTCATCTGGCTTGCCTGCTTTCATAACTTATCTTTTGATGTACACCTTGCGAACTATTTAGTACCTTGACCTGGTCTGCGTCCAGTTTCGATCTGACATCTCGACCCAGTTGCAGATTTATTACGTTTCTTTTTTAATTCTACCTTATAGAAAGGGCAACCACGATAATTCGCCGTGTGATTTTGCTTACAATTAGTACAGGAGGGTTTTACGCCCGGTTTAGGGAGTGTATATTCAGAATATTGGTGGTCATTAAGGCATTTAACGCATCTAGGATTGTTAAAACAGTTAGCTTACGTATGCCCAAAGCGTTGGCACTTTTTACATTGGATGGGGAGTCTAGTTTTTTGTTCGTACCAAAATTCCAACTATACAATAACCTAACTTACTTAGTTTTAGAATGGCTCTACCTGCCACATTGTCTCTACGTCTACAGCAACTATCCGCAGGGGTTTTCTATTTGTACCATAAAGTCTTACTACTTTTAATAAGGGAATTTATCATTAAGTTCTTTTTTTAATATCATTGACATCTAGACACTCCGGTACATCTTTTATTATAACTTTGAATGCGCTTACAGATGGGTCTTTAAAGGAGTAGAACTCTATCTCTTTACTTTCGCAAAAGTTTCGAAATTTCCTGAAGTCTTCAATATTACTGAATTGCACCTTAAATTTATTGTTACTGCATTTGACTTTATTTGATTTTCAATTTCATTTTTCACAATGTCCTCTTTAAGCAGTTTATAGTTCAGCAATTGATCTTCTCATTTATTATAATTTTGAATAATAATTGTTTTTTTACTGCTTTGAATTCACTATCATCATTTCCCTCTACGTCATCTAAAGATTCAAATCTGTTTTCGACAGATACGTTATAAAGCATTTGATTTATCTCTGGTTTCGAATGTTTGTGTCTTTTATCACTTAACACTTCACTAGAATCACTGTTTCTCTTTAAGATATATCTACCTTTTTTTGGTTGAGGTGTTGGAAGAACGTTGAATTGCGCCCTGTCCGAGCTGCTCCAAGTTATTAGTAGCGTTTGGCGACTCCTCGTCAATGTTTTGCAGTTCCCAAGGAGGTATCGGATTCCCGGCAGTCCATGATGTAATTACGGCGGTTGAGCTGTTTTTGGTTGTGTTAAACCATGCTGTTGAGTTTGCACCATGTTTTGAATTACACATGCTGTGGCAAGTTAATGCTCAATTGTGACTGGAATGGAATGAACCCAGCTTGATATTGCGGCAACATTTGACCATTTTGAAATGCGAACATAGTGTTGTTTTCCATTGAGCTCGCATGAGAAGTCTCTCCAAAGGTTGAGACACCATTTGTTGCATCCATTGGCATTCTTATATGCTGCCCCGTACCGGGGCAACCATTTTCACACATTACACTGTCCTAGTGTTAGTAGCTTGTTGCATACACTTTTACAGAATAAATGAATAAGTAAATAAATAAACAAGTAAATAAATAAATAAACCAATAAATAAAAAAATAAATGAAAAAATAAATGAAAACAAGAAAAACCAAAACCTCGTTTTACTAGTAGACACTTCCACGATTACTATCAACGCGTCTATAACACGTCGGTAACCCCTCTGGTAGTAGTAGAAAGTTTATCGCGAGGGGTGACTCTCGCAGGGGTCTTACCCCGAGGGGAGCCGAGCTCGAACTCTGATCCTATGTAGACGAAAATGAAAGGGGGTTCAATACATTGTGCGAAATTCAAATTCTTGAAAATATATTGTGCAAACGGAAAAAGGTTGTACCGGTTGTTGACAATATTGCGCAATATCCCGTCAGTCAGTATCAACACATGTTCGAGCACGCCTCGCCATGGATGCCAAGAGAGCTGATAAGCAATTTATTTTAGACTTTGTTGAGGTCTATCGTGGCCTTCTGGCTCTATGGGACGTGAAATGCAACGATGCTAATCGTGCAAAAAAAAGGGGGAGCAGTACGAAGTGCTGGTAGAAAAAATTGCAAAAAATATCCAGATGCCGAGAAACAAGAAGCGGTGAAAACAAAATCTTTGCGAACAAACTTCCGGAAAGAAGTGAAATGGATTCGTCATGCAGAGAAAAGTGGTGCCGGTGCGGAGAATGTGGCACCTGTGCTGTGGTATTTTGAAGAAATGAAATTTCTCCAAACCCAAGAAACTCGTACTGCTTCAATCAGAACATATCTGAGCTTGTTTTTGATGGTGATGACGTTCACAACGGCGAGGATTATGGTGATGCAAATGAAACCAGCTTCCGCACAGTAAGTTGTCCATTTTATTAATTTTCTCAACATGTTAATTTTACGTAAAATAATCTTTTTACTTATTAACATTCATTGCTAAATCAAAACAACTTCTCCATTACACAGTTTTACCAAATATTTCATCATACCTGTTTTATTATTGCTATTGTTATTATTTTTATATACAACATTTTTAATTATTGGTAGAGGCAATTGAGCTTACAATTTTCTATTGCCATGAAACTTGGCCGTCATTGTTAAAGATATTACAATATGTAACTCTGACTACTTTAGCACTAGTTGTTGCGTTTCTGAAGGTACTGTTTGGCTGCAGCCGGTGTCAGCTCCTTGGCAACATCCCTCCAGGATCCCTTGTAACCACATGAGCCCGCAAATCCTCACTATTGACGTGATTCCTAGTGACAAACTCGTGGTTGACGTTTGCATAAAAAGTTGTAAATAACAACATGCCAATGCAACTGTTCGAGCCTTTTCTGGAGACAGATATGATGAGTTCTGTAATACACCAAATAGGCTGACCAAAACCCCAAAGGCATTTTCGATCACACGACGAGCGCGACTGAATCGATAATTGAAAATTCTTCTCTTCAAATTTAATCGTGCTTGAGGGTAGGGTTTCGTAAAATTTCCTCCATCACCTTCCATCCCGAAAGCTTCATCTCCTAAGAAAGCGAATGGCATTTGCCGACTATTCGGCAGTTGTGCAGGTTCAGGTATTCTCAGTGTATTATCTGCAAGCGCTTGCCCAAACTTCGTGTAACTGATTACAGCGCCGTCTGATCTTCGCCAATTTATTCCTGTATGAACCATGATCAACTCATAGTTCGCATTTGCCACTGCCAGCATCACAATGCTGAGGAATTGTTTGTAGTTGAAGTAAAGTAATCCGGAATTGTAGGGTTTCCTTATTGCTACATGTTTCCCATCGACTGCGTCCAGACAATTAGGTAAATTCAAATGATCAACGAAATCTTGTACAATTTGTTTCCATTCTTGTTCTATAGTTAGTAACTGCAACAAAGAACAAAAACGTTGTACACAACAACAAACAATTTCCAGGTTCTAGCGAATTTTCGATTAACAAAAAATACTTTGAAAATTCACTCATTTCTTCCAGACGAAAGATGGACGTTCCAAAAACAAAAAGAAAAAAAGCTGGCAATTTCACTGAGGAATTGGTGTAATTGGCTACCAAGCGCCTTCAACAATCACATGACTGAAACATAGTAACTGCAAGTTGGGTAGTCGAGCTCAGAATAATGGATCCACAACAACAGTTGTTTTCGAAAAAAGCCATCAATGATATCCTATTTGAGGGACAAATGGGAACCTTACACCGTAATTCAGTGCAAATCAATACGTTGTGTGTCCACCCCGTAAAGTGTCCAGTCCCTCCCTTCATTCGATCATCACAATGATTCAGCAGAATGCTACCACCAAGACACAAGAACCTTTTTCGCTTCATTTCAGTAAGGCAGTTAGTTTCCAAATTCATGTATACCTTCAGTAGATACCTATGTCAACTTTGTTTTTAGCTAATGTAAGCCAATATTTTGATTGCCAAATAAATATTGATAAAGTTGACAAAAGTCCTTACCTTAGTGTATTCCTTGAGGCAGTTGATCAGAGCAGCGCACGTTTCTATGAGGCCTATTGACTGGGGTGAAACAGCAGTTAAAAACTTCATATCTTCAAATGTTTTCCCGGTTGCGAGATATCGTAGGGTTATGGATAACCGTTGACTTGCAGGAATAGCATCGCGAATTACAGTGTTCTTTTTCTCAATTTGAGGAGTAACCAAAGCAACGAGTTCATCAAATAATTCTCCATTCATCCCTAAAAAGTTCTGAAAGTCATGTAGTTCAAGAAGTAGTGTCAGTTCATTCACTAATCTTTCGTGTGTGTACTTCTCCCTCTCTCCTTTTTCTTTTTTGCACTGGCGGCCACAGCAATCATCACACATTTCAGTATCACTCCACATGGCTTCACTTTCATGAAATTTCTCGTTAGGAATGATTCTACAATATATTGCCATGTGGTTGTATGTCTGTGTTCGCGATTGCGCAATACATTGCACCACCACCAATATCGCCTCCATACGGTACAGTTATTTGCAGAAACCAAAATATTTTACAATAAAATTGCCCATCTAGGGCCAACGTATAAAATATTACACAACCCACATTGCGCAATAATACTGAGCGTCTATGACCCCTTAAGAGGTTATAACGCAAATATTAAAACAGTGCATTATTGAGAACAGTAGACTAAATACAACGTAAACTACAAAGTATCTTCCTTGTTCTCGTGTGTGGTTGAAAAAACCAAACACATCTAAAGGTTTCTACCGGTTTCTACCACCAAATCACACATCTGTGTTTCCTGTAACTTTAAAAACAACAGAAACACATGCTACCTTTGCAAGCAATCGCGTGATGTTCTATGTTGCTACAAAACACCTAACACAAAGGATTTGATCAAGCGTCGAATAACACTGGCCAACTCCATTCCGTTCCGGTTCAAAGGTTTGTGACTTCTTAAAACAGAATGGAGCCGTGTGCAAGTCGGCTCCGTGTGTGCTCCGTAGTCGGCCTGAGAGACTGCTATTTCCGCCGTCTCTGTTTGGGTCGCAGGCGGCCCATTGTGACAAACGTACACAGGGAATTTTCCTTTTGATTGCGGCGGAAAGCCCGGGCGCCGGAATAAATTGTTAACGCGTCAGAAACAATAGCCCCAAATGGGTTTCCGGCACAAGAGAGGTGGGTGGTGGTGGTGGTGGCTGCAGAGGCAGTGGAAGTGAGATAGAGTGGGGAACTGGTTGGTAGAAGACGTTCTGGAGAACACGGCGGAATCATTGGGTTTCATGATGATGACTGTAACATTGAGAATCGCAACCATAAATTCTGATAAAAAACAATTAAAAATGATATTGTTCAAGACGTGTAAGATTAGCTGTTCATAATAATGTTTTGTCACATATATCACAAAACTCAAACTTACTTCGTGTACATTATGCTACATATTAAGTTGGATTTTATTTACTTTTATTTACGCATTTATAGTTGTTATTATTTTTTAAATGTCAATTGGTTCATTATTATAATTACCAGATCGACTAATCTTAGTACTGGTCCTGCAGCTACTAATTATTAAATAGTAATATTTTTGTGTTTTCTTATTGCATAATTATTTAATAAACTCTTCTATAAATATGTAATCATTATGTTGTGCATAATTTCATTTATAATATTTTTATCTATTTTGTCCATGACTGCGACGTGTACTAGGCATTTGTATTTAAATTTTTAAATGCTGGGATCACTGATTCGATTTACGAGCGCACTGGGGTGGTCATTAGTAGTTATTTTCAGAAGTAAATGTAAATTTTGCCTACCTTTACTTTTGTTATAGTACTATTTTAAAAAATGAAAATAATTTCAATAGACAGATCGAGAAGCAGACTCGAAAGTCTGAGACTAGACTTCAAAATAAGAATGTTCGTATGTAGTGAGTAGTCCGCAGCGTAATGTTGAAGAGTTTGAAGTGGTAGTGATTACAGCAGTGACCCCTAAAACAGGAAGTAACGATGTCGGTGATGGTCGAGGTTATTACAGTGAGCAGTAACAAGTCGGTATAATTGAATTTCCAAACTGCTCGGATCCACATTATTTCTGAAATCGAATACACAATCCATACAGTTCATAATATTATCTTAACATTATTTTTACTCTAAGGATGATTATGCATCTACTTCTAATTCAGGATGGAAATGCTGAGACCCCTTGAACTTGGGCTTCCACCCCGACCAAAGGAACAAGGCTATGAAATGTGACACCTGAGAGAGCTCACCAAATATACGCCAGTGTCTGTGAACTTGCGTGATTTTATACATTCCCGGGCACTGACGTGGGTAGCTGAGATCATTAAGGCAGCAGATCAACAACAATGTCGATTCGTAACTCGTCTATCGATGTTTTCTCGGGTGGTGGGACATGTGGAGGCTCTTTCAACCACCATGTACCAACCTTTCAACCGTCGTCCTGGTAGGAGACACGACGAAGCGATAACTGGGGAACCTGGTAGATGGGACGTGAGCAATAAGTCTCAACAATGTATAGGAATATCTGCATGCACCGAAAGACGTTGGATACATACATACGAATCGTCATATTCCATACAAAATTGGCAATGAAGATCATTGATGTCCGTGTGTAAGTTGAAGTTTCAATGTGATGTGGTAATTAACGGAAGCTAATTGATCTGAATTTTAATTAGGCCCACTGTTATGGACGACTCTCTCATAAACTGGAGCCTACAATTCAATTAGAAATTCAACACAAAGAATATTCAACAATGTTTTAAACACGCCCATTATTTATAGGTGATGCCTATAATAACATTTAAAGACAATAAACCCTTCCATCATTATACCCACATCCTGATGAACTCTACAATAATACAGTACAACTACGAAAATAATAAGTGTCTGTACGACTATGATGTATAGATCAGGAAGGTAACAGTAAAATGCGAGTAAGTGTACTACAGAATTTTCACTTATTATGTTATTACCTGGCAATCAGACAATTGTTGCTAAATAAAAATTATTATTATTGTTGTAATCACTAAGGTAACTGTATAGCACTAAATTACAATAGAAAGAATTACATATCTACAACTTTAAAATGAATTCCACCCTCTGCTGCAAGGATCACATCATTACCCAAGCAGATACACTGCTCCAAAGCCGCCCTGCCCTGGCTGTGAATCTCAATGAATGGCATCGCCGGGGCGCGGCGGGGCGCGGTCTCCGAAGGGCGAGACTGCGCAATGGTGAAGGCGTAATCGCCCTTTGTGCGTCCTTGTTACGAGCATTGTGCGGGAGGGAGGCGGCTGGTAGGGGCGCGGGGGAGCGGAAAGCGCCCCGGTGGCGGGGAGAGCGCGAGTGGCGGCGGTTGTGGTGAAAGCGCGGGCGGAAACAGACTCGATATCTCGACGCCGCTAGAGTTGCAGCCAGGGATGGATTCCTTGCCTTTGATGCTCAGCGGACCAGATGTTTCTGTCGTCTCGGTTTACTAGAAATGCTATCCAAACATGTCGTATTTCCAGAATTTGAGTGAGTTTGTTAGATCCTTTGATGTATGCGTATGGTCCAGTGTCAATATTTCATCTTCTATGTTTTAGCAACTGTATTGAAAGTGCATGATTGCAACGAGTTATATTATATACAACGATATTGAGAATGAAATATTTTGGTCATCAGTACGTCAAGTCTTACTGGGTTTAAAAAAGTAAAAAATGAATATATTTTTTACATATTTCAACATGTTAAAAACAATTTATTTTCAAGTATGTTCACCGTTCAGTAGTTTATGCAGTAAGAAGTGCAAAGAGATATCTTGAATTTAACTTGAGGGAAATTTAACCAGATTATGAGAAGTAGAATTAGTATGAAGGCTATGTGTTTCTTTCTCCATTAGTAAAGCTTACTTAAAGTCGACATTAGTAGATCCGTAATGGCATTTCATTACAGAGAAAAATTATGCAATACACGTGTATTTTATTTGAACATATCTAAGCTGTTATATAATATTCAATAATGTTGATTGATAATGAAGTAAATAAATTAATTATATACAATTTCTTTTAAATTGCAAATATCGAGATCGCTGAATATTTAAAAGATCTGTATCAGTTGCTCGCCTATTGCTTTGAGAGGCCACGCCTCGGCATGTAATTTCATTTTATTATAAAAACTACTATCGCAACATCAATTTTCCATTCGAATAGTTTTCTGTTGACAATATGTACTGCCGTATATCATAAGACTAAACACATTAAAAATCATGTAAACCATAAATTAGTACATACATGAATAAACTACATTTGAAAACGGTTTGAGACAAACAAGTTCCTTCAATTCATTACAGGAAATGCGAGATATCCTACAAGGCACAATAACTCTAATCAAATTGACTGACCAAATTTAAATATAAATTAGTTAATCGAGAAATCAAATTTGTGTTAGATGATTTTTAATGTACAATTTTCATTTCTGCTCAAAATTTTACGAAGTTGAATTCTATAAATAAATAACAAGAATATTCGGATATATGGAACTTTTACATTTCTATACATTAAAATTCACAGAAATATTTCCACTCGTCAGCAATATATTTTGTTAATATCGAGGTAAAAAGTACAAAATCAAAGATATACACCCAAGTATTTTCCCTGATTCATTTGGAAGGTACAATATTTTTTAAAGTGAGTTCTTTTAATGCATTACGCTTTATTTAAAAAATGTAGAACAAAAGCTGTAATTCCAGAACTGTGCAAAAATATCCCTCATATTGACATAAACTAATATTTTTCGCACTCATGAATAGAAACCAGTATCTACCTTTACTAATTATTGATCGAAAAATGTCTCTTTGTAGAACTCATGAGGTAAAATAAACTTTGTTGCACGCGTTCTGCAAAGACGCCATGACCATAAAACAAATGAGTACTGCAAACAAAATAAATAACATGAGCCAATATGGCTACAACCTCGGCTGATGAGAATAATTCCAAGAGTATATTCATTTAAATTTCCATGAATTCGTACTAAAAACGATGGAGGAGAAATCCTCGGACTACGGGTCACCTCGTATGTGGGGCCAGCTATAGGTTTGGAAAAACAACAACAAAAAATAAATTCTAATTAATTTTTATTTTGATGTGGGGTAGACATTGTCACTTTCATTGTTAACTTGAATGGACATCCATGATTATTCTAAAAAAAAAATTAAGTTAACACTACATGTATCTTCATACTTTTTCTCGCTACCGTGTATTTAAAAGAACAAAATCGAGAGCAATATAATAACTGACATAGATTTACATTGAAAATTCTACTTTATACCTGGGCCAATGCTTGCCATATACCTCGGAACCCTTAAACAAGTCAAAAATCAAGAACAATTAAAGATTTATAAT